GAGCAGACAGGCAGTTGCTTGAATTAGGGGCTCATCCCAGAGCCTCTTCAGGGGAGGTGAACAAAATAAACCCTCGCCGATCTCAGACTGATGAGCTGTTACGGAGAGTGACTGCTCATCGCGTTGGCAGCGATGACGTGCTTGGAAAGGCACCAGGCCTGCTGGGTGCCACACAAGTGTTGCTTCTGGCAGCTCGAGGGAGAGGCGAGCCGCAGACCGCACGGCTTACCCGCTTAAAGTGTGCAAGCCGATAGATTGTGGTATGTCACAGCCACGCGGCCATCACCACGGCCAACTTTAAAACGTTCCATTGCCCCCAAGAGGAGCCCCGGCCCTCACGAGCCCCCTTCCCGTCCGCGGATGAGCCCGTTCTGGACGCTTCACGCACGCGGGCTCACACCCCGCGTGGCCTCTCGTGTCTGGTTCCCCCCCTGAGCGTCGTGCATTCGGGGCACCGGGTGCGGGCGCCTCGCTCCTGCCGGCGGCCGAGGGACGTTACTGTGCACGGTGGACACGTGATGTTTGTTCATCGACGGAGAGTTGGGCTGTTTTCACTTCGTGCCTGCTACGAACACCTCCGGGTGGCAGTTTTGCGTGGACGTATATTTGCCCAGCCTGAGGTAGATGTTGAGCGTGGGGCTGCCGTCCGGTCGTTGGAGGAGCCGCCTGAGTTGTCCACAGCGGCCGCGCCAGTCGGCGATCCCAGCTGTCGTCCCTAACGCCTCCAGGCCCCGTGCTCCGTGTCCGTAGCTTCCCAGACAGGCAGGTGGCCCCTGGTCCGTCCACAAGGTGAGCAAGGGCGCAGAGCTTCGCGGCCGGGGCTTCGTGGCACCTGGTCTTCCAGTTTCCTGACGGGTCCCACCCCCAGGACACCCCAGTCCCCGACATGGTACCCACGAGAAGGAGACTGTTGTTAGAGCACCTGCTATCCCCGGTTCTTTTCTCCAGAACATGGCCTAATTCTGCTTCTGGGAGTTCTGAAACGTCAGCCGGGCTCCCAGGGCTGGGCCCCGGCCTTGTCCCGTCGGTGCGTTCCTCCCGCGGTGCCGGCGTCTGCCGGGGGCCCTGGCCGAGAGGCGGCGCTGGAGGCAGGGGTCGGCCCAGCGCGCCTGCCCGCCGCTGACCCCCTCTCTGCCCGCAGCCCCAGTGGGAAGAAGTTCCGGAGCAAGCCGCAGCTGGCCCGCTACCTGGGCGGCTCCATGGACCTGAGCACCTTTGACTTCCGGACGGGCAAGCTGCTGATGAGCAAGGCAAGCCGGAGCCGGCAGAGGGTCCGCTACGACTCCTCCAGCCAGGTCAAGGTGAGCGCCCGGCCTCGGGCTCGCCGTTCAGAGCCACTGTTGGGGGCACCTGGCTGGCTCAGTCAGTGGAGCATGGGAGTCCAGGTCTCAGGGTCATGAGCCTGGGCCCCCCGTTGGGCTTAGGGTTTATTGAAAAACCTAATTTAAGAAACACGTTAAAAAAATCAACGCTTTTGGTGGGGAGGGAGAGGTTTCCACTCGTCCTGAGTCGCGCTAAGGTCCTATCTGTTGAGGGAAATTTGGAAGCCACGGAAAAGGAGAAAGAAGGAAAGATGTCGTCTGCACTCTGTCCCTGGGAGAGGCCACGGGCCCGCTGCCGCTGGCTATCTCTGGCGTGTCTGTCAGTCTGTCGCCCAGCCCAGCAGCGGGACCAGAAAGCAGCACATGTTCGGCCGGCGCCCGGTGACACTGTGTGTCCTCCAGTCTCTGATAGATGCCTGGGTGGGGGGGGGGGGGGGGGGGGGGGATGAGCTGAGGTCCTGGCTACAGGACAGTGCCAGCCAGGGTGCCCTCTGGGCCACGCCCCACGGACAGGACAGGTGCACAGCCAGTAGGCAGGGTCTGGGCCAGATCTGTGGACGCCACGGGGTATGCTGGTGACCGAGAGCCGCGGGCTCTGCTCCCCGAGGCCCCCAGGACGAGTCCCCGCTGAGGCCCCCAGGGCTGCGGTGCCAGCTTGTGTGTCTCTGCAGGGCAAGCCCGACCTGAACACAGCCCTCCCCGTCAGGCAGACGGCTTCCATTTTCAAGCAGCCGGTGACCAAGATCACCAACCACCCCAGCAACAAAGTGAAGAGTGACCCCCAGAAGGCCGTGGAGCAGCCTCGACAGGTGAGCCCACGGGCCCGGCCTCCTGCCCCCACGCTTCCCGGGCCGCCGTGTGCCAGCCTGGCTTGCGTCCTGTGGGGGCACACGTGCCGCCTCATAACCTGCTTTCTAAAAACCATGATCACCTGTGCTCTTGTGCGTGTTTTACAAACGCTCGTACGTAGCTGGCGTGCGGCCTGGGCGGGAGCAGGAGGCTGTGGGAGCCGCTCACCGGGCCCCCCGTCTTCACCGCCCTCGGTGGCATTTGGATTGTAGCCAACTAAGTAACCACTCAGAGACCTGTCCTCTGCCTCCTGCTTTGGAGCGCGCCTCTCAGTGCACCGTCCCCGGAGTCCCCGGTGCCATCTGTGGGCGCGAGCTCCACGCACCTTCAGGGGCTGCTGGGTCCGTCCCCTGCCTGTCGATGGTGCCCGGTCGTGGTGGGTCAGCCGGGTCCGTCCCCCTGCGCCCGGGGCCTCCGATGGGCCTCACAGCCCAGCTCCGGGTGGACGTTGCGCTTCTGAACGTCAGCGTGAGGGGGGGGGCGTTGCCCCGCTGGGGTCGGGCCATCTTTTGGGAACCACAGACCGCCAGTGCCGACGGCAAGTCTCGCTTCCCGGGTCGGGGCCTCTCCGGCCCCGGGAGGACCAGGCAGAGGCCAGCAGCACCCTCGTTCCCACGCGAGGTGCTCCGGCAGGTGTGGGGGTCAGAGGTCACGCCGGGACTGCTACCCTCCACGAGGATGCGCCCCAGCTCTCCCCCGGGGCACCTGTTGTGCCTGTTGTGGGGGCACGGCTGGCCGTCCGCCGGCCTCACGTCTGTTTGTCCGGTGGCAGCTCTTCTGGGAGAAGAAGCTGAGTGGCCTGAACGCCTTCGACATCGCCGAGGAGCTCGTGAAAACCATGGACCTCCCCAAAGGCCTGCAGGGTAATCCCAGGAGAGGGGAGGGCTGGGCAGGGTGGGGGGGTTGAGGGGAAGGGCGGGGGTGGAGGGGTGGGTGTGGCGGGGCTGCGGCACAAGGGCTGTCCTGCGGGGCGGGTCCCTAAGAGGCCGAACGTGTGCGATTTCGCCCGCGCGTCGTGGCGATGGGAGACTCGGGAGCGAAACCAGAGGCTGAGGGAGAGCGGCCTCGGGTGCCCAGTGCTGAGCGCCCTCCCGCCCCGTGGTAGGCGTGGGACCCGGCTGCACGGACGAGACCCTGCTGTCGGCCATCGCCAGCGCCCTGCACACCAGCACCATGCCCATCACTGGGCAGCTCTCAGCCGCCGTGGAGAAGAACCCCGGGGTGTGGCTGAACACGGCCCAGCCTCTCTGCAAGGCCTTCATGGTGACCGACGAGGACATCAGGTACCGGCCCACGCGCGCCCCCGTCCGGCTCCTGCCTGTGGCCGGCGTGGCCCCCGTGTGTGAGAGCTCTGGTCTCCCCACGGCCCCGCTGTTCCGCCGGCGCTCTTTGGGGGTCAAAGCGGATGTGGTCCCCGCGAGGGCACGGGTGTGGAAAGCACCCACGGGAGCTTTTCCGCGAGTCTTCAATCGAGGGCAGACCAGAGGCGGCCTGCGGAAGGAACAGGAAGTATCCTTGCCGTTTGGGAATGTTCTTGGGAAGAGAAAGCGGCTCTTCCCCCCGTGTGGACAGGCTCACAATGTGGCCTGCCCGTCTCAGGCACGTGAGGCCTTCGGGGTGCCTGCCGGGCGGGGGGGGGGGGTGCCGCAGAGAGTGCCGTGAGCCCCAGACACGCCCCGGGGCCTGGGATGTCGGCCGGATCTAGGCTGGGCCGGGGGCTGGGGCGCCTCGGGAGGGTTTCCCAGCTGAGCTGGTGTCCAGGTGCAGGCGGGCTCGTGGCGGGAGACATCTGTCTGCTGGAACCATCCGGGCAGGCGTCCCGGCGAGGAGATGTTTGAGCCGGCAGCGTGGAACGTGTGTCCTCTCGAACCGAGGTGTGAACACACAGCCAAGGTCAGAGCAGGGTAGGGGCTCTCTGTGGGCCCCACACAGAGAAGGGGCCGGAACCGCGGCGGAGCGGCCTGTGGGCGGGCGCCCTGCCGCAGGACTGAGCCGAGCCCCAGGCCCCGCGGGGTGACGCCGGGGAATAGCCCGCGGCCCCGCAGAGGAGTGCGCTGCCAGGGAGTTGGAGGTAGAACGGAAGAACGCGACCGTCCGGAAGGGCTAGGTGGGTGTTTACGGCTGAGCAGAAGTTCTAGAACTGGGAGAAGCTCAGTCCTGAGGGAGGGTCGGGCAGCGGACTCGGTCGTGTCCGGAGAGGGGACGAGTGGCCGGCAGCGTGGTGCCGCACGGGCCGGGGCCAGCGTCTGCCAGGCCCGGGGACGGACGCGTGCCGGGTCACGTTGGGGCGAGGGAGGGGAGGCGGGCCATCTCACAGTCTGGGCTGACGGCTTTCTAGGCTGTGGTAGCAGAAGCCAAAAGACCGAGAACGCCGTTCTCCACCTAGAATTGTGTGCCTGCAAAACTCCCATCAGCCACGGGGCGAGTGACACTCTGGCCGGGTGCGGTGACCTGACACCGTTGTCTGCTTTTTCTTTGCAAACCCCACTCAAGCGACAGTTCGGGGACTGCGTGCGCCCGTGCGCTGGACCCCAGGGGGAAGCAGACAGGCGGTGACCCATCGGCCGGGCCTGCGGGGCCTGCTGGGAGGGGCAGAGGCAGACGGGGGGGGGGGGGGGCACGCATCTGGGGACTTGAGCCCCCAGCCCCGGGGTCGCCCAGGCGGAGACGGACCGTAGGACACGGAAGCTGAGCCGGAGGGCGGCTCGCTCTGCGAAGGTTGCCGCCAGGACGTGGGACAGAGGGCCCCGGAGGTGACCCGCCCACGTACGCCTGCCCGCACTCTCCTCCTGGCCTCGTGCCGTCTTCCCGGAGGCGGGGACGTGCCGCGGCCAGCGCAGCCCCTGTGTCCCCAGGAAGCAGGAAGAGCTGGTACAGCAGGTGCGCAAGCGGCTGGAGGAGGCGCTGATGGCCGACATGTTGGCGCACGTGGAGGAGCTGGCCCGGGACGGCGAGGCTCCGCTGGACAAGACGGGCGCCGACGAGGACGACGACGAGGACGACGAGGACGACGAGGAGGAGCCCGACCAGGACCAGGAAACGGAGCACGTGTAGAGCAGGTCGCTGGCCAGGCGGGTCCCGGTCCACAGCTCGCGCGCGGGCAGCGCCCGCAGGGGTGAGGGACGTGCCCCACGCTGGGCGGCGGCTGTGCCGGCGTCCCCGGAGGGCAGCTCCCCGCCAGGGCGCCGATGGCGCCCTCTCCCCGTCCTTGCGGAGGCCCTGCCCGCGGGGAGCCGCCTGCCGACCCCGCCGTCTCCACGCTTGGACCGGGCTCTGTGGCCGGGCCCGGCCCGGGGGGAAGGGGGCCTCTCCTAGGTCTTCCCAGGCGTGTCCCCTCCCCGGGGTCCCCGGGGGCACGGCTGGAGGACCGCCCCTGCCCGGCGGGCTGCCGCGCTTGCTCCTCTCCAGAGGACGTGAGACCCGAAGTGCCAGCCGCTCCTGGGCCCTGCCTGCGGGAGGCCCCCGCTTGGAGCCGTCGCTGTCATTCCGCGGTGGACTCGGGGCCGGCCTCGTCCCCACAGCTGCCTCACACAGGACAGCTGCCCCCAGGCGGCCTGCGAGGGTGCTCGAGGGGCCAGAGAAACGTTTTTTTGGAATGGGCTTGGCCCCCGATCCCTGCACGAGGGATGATGGTCCAGGGCCAGCACACCGGCCTTTCCGGAAAGGGGTGCGGGATGGCTCCCCAGCCATGATGGCCCGGAGTTCCTCCGGAGGCAGTGGGGCCACCCAGACGTTTTCCTTCAGTAAACCCGGGACACGGATGAGGCGGGACGTCCGCGTAACGGCCCGAGCCTTGTGTTGGCCGCACGTGGACGTGAACTCTGTGGACACCTGCCCTGCCGGAGGCTCAGCCACCTCAGAAAGAAACTGCTCGCGGCCAGCTGCCTCCCTGTCTCCTCCCTCCCCCGTGCAGCAGGGACAGTGACTCCCGGCTCTCGGGGCCAAAGCTCTTCCGAGTTCCCATCCTGGGGCCTGTTTTCCGGCCCAGCATCCCTGAGCGCCCGGTGCCCCGAGCAGCAGCCTCCGGGGAGCCCTGGACACAGGGCGTCAGAATTGTGGTCCTTAATCCCCGTCCCCTCCAACCCTGAGTGCCTTGGGTGAGGGGAGCCACCCTGTCCCTGCCCGGCCCTGCCCCACGGCCTGAGACTGTTGGGAAGGCCCCGGGTCGCTGCCCCGTGCGGCTGTCACCCTGGCTGATGCGGGGGGTGGGGGGGGGTGGGAGCCACCTGCGCCTCCGAGGATGTCAGACCGGCAGCATCTCTCAAGCCCAGTCAAAGCACAAACCCTCGAGACCCACCCACGGGGTGCCCCGCATGGGCTGTGGTGCCGATGCCGGCCGGGTCAGGGGGGGCGGGGGGGAGGGCCCCTCCGCGAGGCCGCGGGCCATCCTGCCCTTCCCGGGGGGCCACGGCCACTGAGAGGGAGCTACGTCCGGGGCTGGCCCCTGTGCGGGCCTGAGTGCGGGGGCCCGGGAGGCACCCTGTCGGTGGGCAACCGTTGAATAAAGCCATCTCGGTGAGTGTGGTTTGCAGCCTTGGTTTAATTCTGAATACCTAGGGCCTTTGTGTCCAGGGAGGGTGGACCCCCGCCTGGGCCTTCAGTGCTGGTTGTGTTTGTTGCCTTAGGGGCTGGAGATGGGGGCTGGGGAATCCGAGGACCCCGTGGCCTTTCCCAGGGAGGGCGGAGTCCCCCCAGGCCTCAGAAGCTCCTCCCACTTTTGGTGAAAGAGCCAGTCTGGTGAAGGCTTCCTGAGGGCTGAGCACCTGCCCAGAGGAGTCCCTGTGACTGCCTCAGAGCCCCCAGGTCCCCTGCTGCCGGGACCAGAGAAAGCCCAAGTCTTAGGCGTGGGGGGTCTGTGCCGGGAGCTCAGGTGGGGGGCGTCCTGGCCGGCTCCCAAGGGGACTGGGGACTGGGGCCCTGCATGATAAGGCCCCTGCCAGCCCCGGTGCCCGGCCAGCCCTGCCCCGCATCTACGGGCAGCAGACGGTCTGCCCTGCCTGGGGTAGCAGGGAGGCAGCTGCCCGGATCCCCTGCTGGGTTTTCCGTGCCCGTGTTGCAGCCGGAGCCTGGGCCCGGGGTCCGTCCACTCTACGCCCCTGCCACATGGGGCTTCTGTCTCTCCCGCCCACACCCTGCTCTGTCTCCGCGTGCATTCACTCTGCAGTCAGTCCTGCCCTCCTGGAAGAGCCCAGCTCCCGGAAGGGAAACCGGCACAGGGTAGCACCTTGCCAGGGGGCGCCAGCTGGAAAGACATCCAGCCTGGCGGAGAACTTGCGTCTCCCTGACCCCAGGCCCAGAGAGTCCCTGAGTGGCCACTGACCTCGGGACCTCAGGAGTGAGAACAGTGTCCAGGGTGCCTGCCCAAGGGCCCATCCACAAATGAATGGGTACAGAAGACGTGTCCGTCCATACAGTGGACTGGGACAGTGGCGCGAGGGTGAGATGCTACCCGCCCCACGGTAGGGCCTCCACACAGCCCCGAGCCCATCCTGACCTTGAGCTGGGGCTCTTTGCAAGCCTGAGGGCCCCTCCTGAATTCTTTCCTGTCCCCAGAGAGACTTGTGGCGCAAGGACTGAGGAGGGCGATCCCGGGCCACGAGTCCCAGGATGCGTCCGGCTCCAAACTCTCCCAGTGCCACCTGTCGGGTGCCATCAGCTCAGGGATATCCACGCTGCAGACCGGAACCACCCCCGTGTCTCCACCGGGTGCCCGGCTGTCCCCAGTCCGGGGCAGGCATAGAACTTCCCGGACCGCGCGAGCCTCCCAGGGCCACTGTGACGCATCGCCACACGCCGATTCCCTGACAGTCCTGGAGCCGTAAGTCCTAACACCCAGGCATGGGCAGGGCCGGGGCCCCGGGGAGCCCCCATCTCGCCCCTTCCCCGGCTTCCAGAGGCGCCGCGTCCTTGGCCCGTGGCCTCTCCGTGGTCACAGCCAGCAGCGCGGATCCATCCGTCTCTCCGCCCCCGACCTCATTACCCTGAAGTAAGATCCCTGGTCTTTTCGGGAAGCCTGCAGCCTGGCGTGGCCTGGCCCCTGTGGCTTGGCCATCTCACCTTTCCGTCCGAGCTCGCTCCTGCCACCTGGCCTTTGCATGCGGGTCCCTCAGGGAGGCCGGCAGTGGCCGCACGAGGCCTGGAGCTGGTCGAGCTCAGGACCCACGGAGTCCGAGGAGGAAGGGAGCCTCGGGTAACCTCAGGCAGTGACTCCCAACAAAACAAGTTGGGATTTTATTAGTCAAACGGTGGCAGGACTGGGGCAGAGGGACCAGCTCGCTCAGATTTCTGGAATGGTCCGGTCCAGCCACATATGGCAGTTCAGTTCAAACTGGCTACAACTAATTAAACAGCCCCTTCCTTACACACGGGGCTGGTGGCTACTGAACTGGACAGAGCAGACGGAGAACGTTCTGTCATCTGGAAAGTTCTAACACACATTCTATAACAGAGACTCTTAGGTGCGTCTGGGTAGCTCCGTTGGTTTGGGCGTCTGACTTTTTTTTTTTTTTTTTTTTAATATTTATTTATTTGAGAGAGAGCAAGGGCAGAGGAGAGGAGCAGAGAGAGGATCCCAAGCAGGCTCCATACTGTCACCGCAGAGCCCAACGTGGGGATCAATCTCACGAACCACGAGATCATGACCTGAGCTGAAACCAAGAATCGGCCACTTAACTGACTGAGCCCCCCAGGCGCCCCTGAAGTGCCTGACTCTTGATCTCAGCTCAGGTCTTGATTTCAGGGTCGTGAGTCTGAGCCCCGCCTTGGGCATGAAGCCTACTTAAAAAAAAAAAAAAAAGTCTAGAACAGGGGCTCTTTGCTTTTGCTAGGGGGCTGCCCAGTCCCCCATCCCCAGTAAGACTGGGCAAGTCTTGGTCGAGACTCAAGGCACTCAAGAAATGGAAATAACCCAAGGGTCTATCAACAAATAAATGGATGCAGAAAATACGTCCACGCACACACACGTCCCTCGGCCGCCAGCTGCCCAGGCCGGCTGCCCCGCGGACGACCCTGAACACGACGCTCAGGGAGGGAACCAGCCACAAGAGGCCACCATGGGTTTTTTCTTTGTTTGTTTTTTTTTTCCAAACGTGATGTTAATTTTGCATCGACTTGCCGAGGCCAAGGGATGCCCAGGTAGCTGGGACACATTAGTTCTGGGTGCGTCCACGCACGTGTCTGGAAGGGATGAGAATTTGATCCGGCAGGCAGCGTGGAGGGATCTCGCTCATCAACGTGGGCATCGCTCAGTCCACCAGGGGCCCAAATGGAACAAAACGGTGTCGCCTTCTCCTCCTGAGCTGAGACGGCCGTCTTGCGCAGCGCACGCAAGGCAAGGCCCCCAGACTCCGGCCGGGTCACGACCCTCCCAGGGCTCCCGCTTGTGGACAGCGGGCCGTAGGCCTCTTGGCCTCCATAACCACGTGAGCCAGTCCCCTGTGTCCCCTTAGAGATCTCTCCGTGGGCCCCGCTGCTTCCGTTTGCCCGGAGAGCCCTTAACACGGCCAGAGCAGGACTCGCTTAAGTGAAAGGTCAGGAGAGGGCAATCCATAGAGACAGAAAGTGGATTCATGGGTGCCAGGGGCTTGGGGGTTTGGGGGCTGGGGGTGCTGCTAGTGGGGACAGGGTGTCTTGTTTGGGTAATGATAATGGTCTGAAGTTGACAGCGGTGATGACTGCACAAGTCCTTGATTTTCCTAAAAGCCACTGAACTGTCTACTTTAAAAGGGCAAACTTCGGGGCGCCCGGGTGGCTGAGTCAGTTGAACGTCCGACTTCGGCTCAGGTCATGGTCTGGAGGTTCGCGGGGTCGAGCCCCACGTCAGGCTCTGTGCTGACAGCCCGGAGCCTGGAACCTCCTGTGGATTCCGTGTCCCCCTCTCTCTCTCCTGCTCGCGGCCTGTTTCTCTCTCTCTCTCAAAAATAAATAAATAAATAAATAAATATTTAAAAAATATGTTTTAATAAATAGAAGGACAAACTTGGATGCACATGAATTATCTCAGTTTTAACAATAAAAAGATTTCAGGGTCTCAGGAACCTGAAGTGTGTGCAGAGCGACGAGATCCCAGCCAGTTTGCAGGGAGACCGCGGGCACCTACACGGCCATCGGAGAGGGGAGAGCGGGAGGCCTGCAGGGGACACAAAGCTGCTGGGCCGGGAATCTTGAAAAACAAACAAAAAAGACAAAAATGAACTTCGGCTGAGGGCAAGAAACTTGCTACAGGAGACAGCACAAAGCAAGCCCGTTACCGACGTGACGCTCCAGAAGAGACTGGTCCACGGGCGCTGGACGGCAGTGGGGCGGGAGGGGACTCTCTGGGCTGCAGGTCTGGGCAGGCGGAGTTCATCAACCTGGCGGTAAAAACGGGTGTGTTTTCTGAAACTAATATAACACTGTATGTTAACTGCCTGGAACGAAAATTAAAAAAAAAAAAAAAGCGTGTTTCGTGGCACGTAAATTCCGTCTCAGACAACAACACCCGATCCACAAACGTTATCTTGAGTCCCAAATCGCCGGCCGTGAGCACACGTTATCGTGATAAGGGAGAAGGCTGAAAATACAAACTCCAGGGAAGGTCAGTTTTGTGGTTTTATATTCTTTGGCAATGTTCTCTTTTTTCCTTGACCGTTTCTTCTTTCAAAATGTGCCCACGGAGGAGGGCAGCCCTGGAAGGGGAGCACAGCGGGAGGAGCACACACCCGGGCTCCCCCCCGCCAAGCCACTCAAGCCCGGTGAAGGGTCCCGGGAGCCGGTGTAATAGGGTCTCTGTCACAGCATTTCCCAAGCACATTTTAAGAACTGTTTAAAAAAAAAAAAAAAAAAGCATATAGTTAAAAATGCAGAGGTCAATGTCACTAAAATCCTCATGATGGAAAGTAGCCATGCTCGGCCCCGTGCTCCCCAGAGGAGAACCTCTTCTGGAGCATTTTCCTCCATGCTGCGTTTTATCCTTCTCGGTCCCCCAAACTCCCACCCCCGTCTCAGCCCCGTCCCCATCAGCAGTCACCCCCCAGTCCCCGGCCCTCACGAGCCCCCCTCCTGTCCGTGGATGAGCCTATTCTGGACGTTTCACACACATGGACTCACACCCCGCGTGGCCTCTTGTGTCTGGTTCCCTCCCTGAGCGTTGTGTGTTCGGGGTCCGTCCGGGGCACAGCGGGTGTGGGCCCCAACCCACCGTGGGGGATTTGGATGCTGGTTTCATTTCCAGACCTCTCCAAAGGAGTCTCTCAAAGGACAGTTTCTTTTTTCTTTTTAAAATTTTTTTAATGTTTATTTATTTTTGAGAGAGAGAGAGAGAGAGAGAGAGACAGAGCGTGAATGGGGAAGGGACAGAGAGAGAGGGAGACACAGAATCGGAAGCAGGCTCCAGGCTCCGAGATGTCGGCGCGGAGTCTGATGCGGGACTCGAACTCACGAACTGAGAGATCATAACCTGAGCCGAAGTCGGATGCTTAACCGACTGAGCCACCCAGGCACCCCTCAAAGGATAGTTTCTAAACTTAAAAACAGGGGCTTAGTTG